TTAGCTTTATAAGATACAAGCTAAACATACTCCCTGTGGAAGCAAATACTGAGGTTTGTGAGGTGGCTTAACATGCAGGGTGCTTGCCTCCAAACCTGATGTCTAGTTCTGTTTCCAGGACCAACATGGTGGAAGGAAAGAGCCTACTCTTGCGGGTTGTCCTCTGAACTCCACGTGCATGCTGTGGCATTCCTGTGCTTGAGTATACACGTACAAAACGTAAAAACTCAATTTTCTTAAGCAAATACTGTAATTTAAACAGAAAAATCAAAGACTTTCTATACTTATTACCAAAGGTTCCTTATGCCAACCTATAGCTAAAGGCTATTGCCCACATAGGGCCGCCCTTGAGTAGGGTAGAATTTATTCTCTGTGCACACTGATTTCTCCCTATTCAAGCCCTACTTGACATTCAAAGTCTAGCTCAGGTCAAAACTTCCCATAGTTCTCCCAGACAAACACATTCAGTACTGCCCGTTCTCAGGCTTCCTGGCTCACTGCCCTCACACCAGAGTTTATCCTGGATTAATTGGGTCATTTTCAGAGTATATGCAACCTAAGAAGTACCTGAGCCCCCATCCCTGGACTAACAGCCGGGTGCTTTGAGGAAGGCATATTGCTGTGGACACTGATGAACCAGACTAGAAGGGTTCAAGCTGGGTTGTATTCATCTGTTTTCAGAAAACCTGCTTAGACATTAGACATTTTAAGTAGTACTGGCTGAGTATCCTTCACCTAAAGTTCTCCAAAATCCAAAGCTTTCTATATAGTGACAGTACAGATGAGCCTTTTACAGCCCCGCAAGCTAGGTGTTAACCCTGTCCTCAGTAAGCCAGTTAAGTAATGGTGAAAAGTAGAAAATGGTTACTCTGTGCGTGACCACATTGGGATGAGGAATGCAAGGTCCAGTGAACACCCTGCCCATCATCTTTGAGATTCCGGTGTAAGCAGTCAAGAGGTATATATTGGCTGGACATGGTGGTGCATACATTTAATTCTAGCACTCAGGAGCTTGGTGGATCTCTGAGTTCCAGGACAGCCAGGGCTACACAGAAAAATGCTCCCAGATTCCTACCTCCAGGGAACTAGCTCCCAGGCTAAGTGTAAAATCATGGCTCATTGTAGAGTGCCTTTTACAGCCACTCAAATTCATTTTCTGCATTTCCTTCTGGATAAAGGAACACTTCTGAAGCTGTGTTAGTTACCTGGTGCTCTGCAGTTGGCCTAATAGCCAGTGGTTCCTGCCCTGTGTAGGGACTGTACCAAAGATAAGTAGGAGGGCAAGATGATGGTCTTCATGGGCAAGAAAAGCTCCCGGTGAGATTGTAGGTGAATGTTCATTGTTTGACCTTACAGATCAGGTATGTTTATGTATTGGTGATAATGTTGAATCAGTACCATGTTTCATCCTAAGGTCCTGGTTGCAAAGAACAGTTGGTAACATTGGTTGTAGGAAATTAATGAATCTGGTCTCTTAAAACAGTAACTTCCTCCCCTTACTTGGTGCTTTGAGGTATCCAGGTGCTTCTCCAGGTAACCTTAACATGTGTAGGAAATTGGATTAAGTTGTTTTGTTTTGAGACAGGGTCACACTATAGTTCTGGCTAGCCTGGCGTGTGCTCTGTAGAGCAGGCTGGCCTCAAACTTAGAGATGCTAGGATTAAAAGCGTGTGCCACCCTGCCCAGCCTGGATTGAGTTAAGTGAAGCAATACAGTGGAGTTGCCCACACTACCTTTTCTCAGCAAACCAGAATACTTCCTAAAGAAAGACAATGCTGACTTTTCCCGCTTTCTAACATGAGAGATGAGGAAAACTTTAAAAACTTAAAGGTTTGTGGGGAGCCCTGCAAGAGTCATAGAAGACAGGAAAAAGAACCATGAGAGGCAAGAAGGAAAACTCAGTTCATCCTGACTCAAGTAAAGGCGAGTTCAAACTTCCAGATAGTCTGATACCAGGTAGCTTATTGTAAGCGTATTTAAACACAATATAATTCGGGGAAAAGCTTCCTGGTGTAATGCAATCTTTGGTGTAATGCAATCTTTGGTGCACGCGGAGGCACAATTGCATCGGAACTAGAGGTAAATTACATGTGACTATGAAGATGGGGTTTATAGCTTCAGGGCCTAGGATCTGATAGCAAGAGATGAGCAGGTTATAAGGTACATGTAGCATCTCTCCTAACGATGGGCTCCTTTCCCTAAAAGCTGATGACAAGGTCTAGAAAGGAAAGTCTGGGATAAAATTCTGGGGGATTTGGGTAAGGTCTGGCTGTAGAGATTTCGAAGGTCGCTAGGTATTACCAACATGCACTCCCAGCTTTCTGAGTAGGAAACGAGTATTTATTTCCTTTTTTGAGGAGACACCCAGGCATGGTCAACATTCCTGGTTTCTCCAGTGTTTATCTGTTCACACAAGGACCATGCCGTGTGTGTGTGTGTGTGTGCGCGTGCGTGCGTGCGTGTGTGTGTGTGTGTGTGCGCGTGTGCATGTGCAGGTGCCTACAGAGACCAGAAAAGAGTGTCACAACTCCTGGAGCTGAGATTCCAGGCAGGTGTGAGTCACCTGATGTTTTGTAGCCATCTCTTCCTCTGATAGAGCAGTTTTAACTATTGACAACTGCCGAGCTATCTCTAGTCCTTATTTTTATTCTTTTTTATTTTACTACTTTATGTGTATATTTTGCTGTTGGGTATGTATGTGTGCCACCTGCACGCCTGAGTTCCATATGGTGTGTGAGGCCCTACGGGTGCTGGGAATCAAGCTAGAGTCTTCTGCAAGAGCAGCCAGTGTTCTTAACCGAGAAGCGAGATCTCCAGCCCTGTTTTTATTTTGAATCATGTATGTTTGTGTCTGGGGGAGGTGTCCGTTGCACGTGTTTGTGGAGGACAGAAGAGGGCATTAGATCCTCCAGCCATGGAGTGACTGGCAGTTGTGAGCCACCTGATTTGGCTGCTGGGAAATGAACTAGAGTCCTCAGAGCAGCACACACTCTTAACCACGAAGCTGTTTCTCCAGCCCATAATAATGCATTTTCAACTGCCCAAACCTCCAGAAATGTGAGCAATAAGTTGTATTGCTCCTGATGATTTCCCAGTCAATGTTATTTTAATACCGGAGCTTAAATGGACTCCAGACACCCTGCTTGATTCTTTTTCCTGGCCCATCTAATCACCTTCCACATTCTGTTATGTCCAACCTCCCACTGCTCCATTTTGTCCAGTGTGCTTCCACACTAGCTTTTCACATTGTTTTTTTGTTTGTTTGTTTGTTTGTTTTGTTTTGTTTTGTTTTGTTGTTGTTTGGCTTGTTTTTTTTTCTAGACAGTATTTCTCTGTGTAGCCCTGGCTGTCCTGGGCTTGCTTTGTAGATCAGGCTGGCCTGCCTTTCACATTCTTGATGCATAGGGTTTATAATAATAGCGTGGTATTTGTTCAGTAGGTATGTGCTGGGGTGAGAAGACTTAATCCACACCGTTATGATGCTAACACTTAAACAAAATGCTCATGGGGCTAGGCAGTGCAGCTCAGAGGCAGGCTGCTTGCCTGTCATACATAAAGCTCTGGGTTGATTTCTCAATATTGAAAATAAAGAACCTGCCTTAAAAGTGAGGAATTAACAACTCAGAGAATATGGAGGCTGGTGAGCTGACTCAGTGGTTCAGAGCCCTGGCTCTTACAGATGATCCAGGTTCTAATCCCAGTACCCACACAGGCAGCTCACAACCACTCGTGACTCCACTTCCGGGAGACCCAACTTGCTCTTCTATTGTTCACCAGCACCTTGATGAACTTGATACACGTGTGCGCACACTTTTTTTTTTTTTAAGTTCATCTGAAGCTGCAGTTGGACTAAGAGCCAGGTAGGATTCCAACTGGGGCACTTGTGGTCTGTTAATAAGCACTCAGGTGATTTGGGGGAAATGTTGAATTTCAGACACCTTTGGGTTAGTGAGTCTTTAGACAGTAGATACAATCCAGTACCGTGGATAGAACCAGGAATAGTGGCACATACCTAAAATGCCAGCTCTTGGGAGGCCAAGGCAGGAGGAATGCCACTAATTTGAGGCCAGCCTGGGTTATATATTGAGCTTCAAGGCAATGGGAGCTATGCAGTTAGTCTATGTCTATAAAGAGAAAAATGTTTTAAAATTCACGTGTATAAGAACTTTTGAAAGGAAAAACTGGTAATACTGTTTTCTGGGAATATAGATAGGAAATGAGGGAAAGTTTTACTTTTGTACTCTGCTAGACATTTTAAGATTTGCAGTAAAAAATAGAGACAAACTCATCAATGAGAAAAACTTTAAATAATAGCATAGGCCAGGCAGTGCCTCGTGGTGCCAGGTGGTGCTTGCCTTAGTCCCTACACTTGGGAGGTAGAGGCAGGCATGTCTTAATTTGAGGTCAGGCTGGTCTACAGAGTGAGTTTCAGGAATGCCAGGGTTACACAGAGAAACCCTGTGTCGAAAACAAACAAACAAGCAAACGAAAGCACAGATGAAGGGAAATAAATGATTTTTTTATTAGAGACAGGGTTTCTCTGTGTAGCCTTGGCTGTCCTGGACTCACTTTGTAGACCAGGCAAAAGTCCATGCTTGGTGGCTCATGTTTGTAGTCCCGGCACTCTGGAGGCAAAGGCAGGAGGATCACTCTAAGTTCGAAGCCGGTTTAGTCTGCACACCGAATTCCAGACCAGCCAACGCTATAAAGGGAAACCCTGTCACACAAGAAAAAACCGAATACTTTTAGTCACTGTTCTAAGAGGCAGGGAAATCTTTGAGCTCAAAACAAGCTGGATCATAGTGAGTTCTAGAGCCACACAGTGAAAAACCAACCTTTAAGAAAAAGAAGCAAACAAAGTACAAAGTCCCAAAACCCAACTTAGGAAGTGGAATTTATAGTGACAACTATGGCCTCTGCCGTGACCCCACCCCCTCCTTAGCCCCGCCCACCACTACCGGTCCCCGCTCCGTGCAGCCCCGCCCCCGGCTTGAGGGCTCCTGGCGGCCATTTCCGGGTTTCAAGCGGGACAGAGCGCGTCTGGAGGCCAAAGCCCTGTCTCGGAGCGTGTAAGCCCGCACGCACGCGCCGCCCACGTCCAGCTTGCGAATCCGGACGCCAGCGGTTCCACTAATGCCCCGGAAGGCAGCTAGTCTAGAGGAGGCTGCTGGGGAGCCGGGCCCTGAGGAGATGGAGGCTGGGCGGCCCCGGCCTGTGCTGCGCTCGGTGAACTCGCGCGAGCCTTCTCAGGTCATCTTCTGCAACCGCAGCCCGCGCGTCGTGCTGCCCTTGTGGCTCAACTTCGACGGCGAGCCTCAGCCCTACCCGACGCTGCTACCGGGCACCGGCCGCCGCATCCACAGCTACCGAGGTACGAGCCGCGCGCTAGGCCTCGGGTGCCTTAACAGGCCCAGCGCGTTCTCTCCAACCCCCGGCACTTCGTCCCTATGCACCGATGCTTTCGGATGCAGTGTACCGGGTTCCCGGGCAGGTTCAGCATCCGAAGCCTGACCTCGCGGTGACAACCTGGAGGGGTGCAGACAAATGCATGAACAGGTACCGGGCGCTGTCATAATTGCTGCGATAGGCACCAGGCTCAGAGGGTTGTGAAAGCATTGGCGGAGTCGGGATGCGTCCAGTTAAGGAGCACGCCTCCCAGAAGAAAGGGAGTAGAGTCAGAGTCAGCCGAGGAAGCTGACAGTTGTAGCTGGGGGACCGGCTGTCCCGATTGAAGCCTTGGCCAAAATCAAATGAGTATGTGTTAACGGGTTGAACTTGTGATCCTCCTGCCTACGCCACTGAGTGCGGGGATTTCAGCTTTGTACCGAACCTGGCTATGTGAGTTTATTAACTGTAGAACTATCAGTGGAGAAAGGTTCTATCGAGGTCCAGCCTAGATGGCTGTGAAAAGCAGTCGAAGCTGTTCTCTTGGGTAAATCCCAGGACTGAGGAGACTGAAGCGAGAGGACTGTACCAGGCTTTTTTGTTTGCTTGCCAAAGAGTGGGAGAAAAAGTTCAGGATGTGATTTTAGCCCTAGACCGTTGGGGCTATTTGACAGTGCCGTATTTATGTAATTGAAAAACATACAGACTCGGGAGCCAAAACAGGAGATTTCAGTGAGCTCTAGGCCAGCCTGGGATATGCAGCAATACTGTGTCTGAAACAAACAAAAAGACAGCTGAGTCGAATTTGTAGACTGGGCTGGCCTCTCCTAGAGATCCGACTTCCTCCGCCTCCTGAGAACTAGGATTAAAGTAAAGGCCTTTGTCACCAAGCCCAGCTCATACTGCTCTTTGGTTCCCAGCACCCATGTCAGGCAGCTCACAAGTTCCTTGGAACTCCAGCTCTAGGGATCCTATGTCCTAAATGCCCGAACTCACTTGGAAAAAGAAGACAAAAAAAGTTTTGTTTAAGCAAGGTGTCAGCTTGCATAGGAATGGCTCACAGAGGCTTACATATTTGAATTCACTACTTGGAAGGATTAGTAGGTGTGGCCTTGTTGGAGTGGGCTTTGAGGTTTCAGAAGCCCAAACCAGGTCCAGAATCTCTCTTGCCTGCTTCCTGTGGCTCAGTCACTTCTCCAATCCTGCCTGGGTGCCGCCATGCTGCCCATCATGCTGATAATGGACTAAATCTCTTAAACTGTAAGCCAGCCCCAATGAAATGCTTCCTTTTATAAGAGTTGCCTTGAAGAATTGTCTCTTCACAGCAGTAGAACATTGACTAAGGCACAAACAAACAAAAAGACTGGGGCAGTCCTCCTGCCTCAGCCTCCTGAGTCCTAGGGTTAGACATGTGAACTGGTTCATTTACATCAAGATCCAGTGAGGATCTTGATGGAACTTTTCTCCTGACGTGGTACATTTAATGGGCTCATTTGACAGGCATGGTGCTACAAACTTGCAGTAACTTGGAGAAAAGGATAGAGGCAGAAAGATCAGAAGTTCAAGCCAGTCTGGGCTACATGATACCTGACTTAATAAAACAATAAGATGAAATACACTAATGCTTTGCAAATTATTATTGTTTTTCTGACATAGAGAGAAGAAAAGAACTTATGTTTGGAGATGTAGCATTTCTTTTTCAGTGCTAGTGATGGAATCCAGGGCTTTGCACACGCTAGGCAAGCCTTCTGTCAAGCTCTGTCTCAGTCTTTTTTCCCCTATGTGTATGGTGTTTTGCTTGAGGGTGTATCTGTACCATGTGTATGAAGAACCTATGAGCAGTGGCACACTCCTATAATCCCAGCACTATGGGAGTTCGAGGCCAGCCTGGTCTACAGAGTGAGTTTCAGGACAGCCAAGGCTATACAGGGAAACCCTGTCTTGAAAAACTAAAAGGGAAAAAAAAAAAAAAAAAAAAAGAAGAAGAACCTATGGAGGCCAGACAGGGGCTCTAATCCCTAGAAACTATAGTTATAAATGGTTGTTAGGTACCATGTGGGTGCTGGAACTCAAACCTGGGTGCTCTATAAGGACAAGTGTTCTTAACTGCTGAGTCATCATTTCTCTAGCCCTGCTTATATTTTTGTTTGTTTGTTTGTGGCAGGGCCTCAGCATGTAGCAGTCTGGGTTTTTGTTTATTTGTGTGGGTTTTTGTTGTTCTTGTTTTGTTTTGTTTTGTTAGAGGCAGAGTTTCTCTGTGCAGCCCTGCCTGTCCTGTAACTCACTCTGTAAGCCAGGTTGGCCTCAAACTCAGAGATCTGCCTACCTCTTCCTCCTAAGTGCTGGGAAGAACACAACAGGAATAAAAAAATTCTGTCTTCTATTTTACATAGAAACTTGTTTTAATTTTGTATTCTGTAAGATTTATCTGTGTCTTATTTTTAATTTTTTTGGTAGAAGTGTTGGTGACTGCTAGAAATTGAACTGAGGACTTCACTCAGGCTAGGCAAACATACTACCACTGTGTAATATTTCTAGTCCTGTGCCTACTTTTATGTAAAGAGAATTAAAATAGGTATGATGATACATGCCTATAATGCCAGTGTGTATGAGGCTGAGGCAGTAGGATTACCATGTGTTTGAGCCCAGCCTGAGCTACATAGGGAGACCCTGTCCTAAAGAAGTTTTATCAGTTTTGAGCTGGGCTTCTAGTTAGAACTGTGGTACTTGCTGGCAGGTGGGAGGGGTGCAGTCCCCAGCGTCACAGAACACCACCAAGTCTTGAGGTAAGTTTGTGTGCCATGAAGGATTGCAGTAGTTTGAGGTAGTTTTCCTCTGAAACAGACTTACCCTGGAGGCTTGTTTCCTTTCCTTGGTTAACTCTGTCCCCTGTTTTTAAAAATGAAGGTATGGGGTTGGAGAGATGGCTTAGTGGTTAAGAGCACTGTCTGTTCTTCCAGAGGTCCTGAGTTCAATTCCCAGCAACCACATGGTGGCTCACAACCATCTATAATGGGATCTGATGTCCTCTCTTGTCATGAAGGCATACACACAAATAGAGTGCTCATATGTATAAATAAATAAATCTTTAAAAATGAAGGTATAATCTTTCAGGCACAGAGGTCTCCGGGCCATGAGAGTTTTTCTAAGTGAAGTTGGAGATGAGAACTTTTCTGTCACCCCACAAGGATCCTTTTTGCCCCTTCTCACTCAATCCCTTCCCTCCGAGAGTCAAGCTCTCGTTCACCTTTTACACTGTATATTAGTTTACCTGTTCTCATCCATGAGTCCTTCTATGGCCTCTTAATGTCAACATGCTGGTTTGTGCACCTCCTGGGCTGGGGACCCAGTGGCCTTTTACATCTTGCAATATGGTGAGATTGCCAGCACTCACTTGACCTAGATGTGCTTTCCCTCCATAGTTGCAGAGCCTTGGCATGTTCTGCTTTCTGTCTTGCTTTCAGCATGCCATTTTCCTTCAGCCCTGCTTTCTCATGAGCAAGGGGTCCTTTGTGAGGAGTGCTGTCATTATGCTCCCCTCTTGGAAGGCTCTGTTATAACACTACGCAGAGTAAGAGGCAAGCATTTCATGTGGCTTCGGGTAATAAACAGGTGCCTTACCCATACTTACGTGGCTTCTTAACATTTTCTGCTTGCCTTGACAGGTCACCTTTGGCTCTTCAGGGATGCGGGGACCCATGACGGACTTCTGGTTAACCAGACAGAACTGTTTGTACCCTCCCTCAATGTTGATGGACAGCCTATTTTTGCCAACATCACATTGCCAGGTTGATAGTCAATCTTTACATTTTTCTTTTTCTTTTCTCTGGGATTAAGGCCTGAGTCACCACACTGGCCCAGTCTTGATAGGGGTGAACATTGTAATGAGTGTTAGCCTCTATTATAGATGAAATGGAAGTATCCATTTCTCTGTCCTGTGTGGAATAAAGATGTTGTGTCTCAAAAGCACTTTTGGCTCCAAAGAAGTTGGCAAAATCAAGGCATCTCCTATAGGACTGTGACTACCCTTTGGTTCCTTGGTCTTGTAACAGCCTGGTGCCCTGGAATCCCAGAGCAAAGGCTAGTAAGACAGCATGAAGCTGAGCCTGGTGGCTCAGTCCTGTAATCCCAGGTACTCAGGAGGCTGGGGCAGGAGGGTCACAAGTGAAAGACTATAGACTACAAAGAAAAATTAAAGCCAGTTTGAGCAACTTTCTGAGACCTGTCTCAGGGCAAAAACCAAACAAAAATAAAGATGTGTATAATCAGAAAAGAGCATTGAGTTAAATTTTGTCTTATATGGCATTGAGTTCCCTGGTGACTTCATCATTATTTTGGGTGTTTTGTTTTGTTTTTGAGAGAGAGGATCTTATGTTTCCCAGGCTGACCTCAGACTCATTATGTAGCTGAGGATGACTCTGAAGCTCTAATCTTCCTTCTGGAATGACAGGTATATAGCCACCATGGTGCTGTGTAGTGCTGGGGATCACACGTAGAGGTCTGTGCCCTCTTCTAGCTGAGCTAGATTCATTGTGAGTGTGCTTGTGCAGATGCATCAGACATTTGGGTTTAAAGGGCAAAGGTCAACCTCACATGTTAATGAGACAGGTACTTTCAGTGGCTCACTGATTAGACTGGGGGTCCTGGCCAGTGAACCCTAGAAATCCTCCTCCTTGCCTCCTCAGCACTGGGATTCTAAGTATGAGTCACTACTCCTGGCTTTTAACGTGAGCTTTAGGATCCAACTCAGGTTCTCATGTCTGCAGAGTAAGCATTTTACCAACTGAGCCATCTCCCCAGTCTTCCCCCATCTCTTTTCTTTCTTTGTTTTTTTCTCCTGAGATAACATCTCACTATGTAGCCACAGCTGTCCTGGTACTTAGTTACAAAGGTCTGCCTCCTGAATGCTAGGATTAAATGTTTGTGCTTGGTCTGTTTTGGTTTATTGAGAAAGACTTTCTCTGTAGCCTTGGCAGAACGGGAACTCTATGTGTAGACCAAACTTCCAACATTTTTCCTGTCTCTCTGTCTCCTAAGTGCTAGGATTAAAGGCTTGTACCATTGTGCCTTTTATACTTTATTATATTTTATTGTTTGGTTTATTTTATTTTTTTGCTTGGATTATTTTATTTTATTTTATTTGGGACAAGGTCTTACTTTGTTGCCCTGGAACTTCCTTATGAAGGGCCAGGCTAATTGAGTACAGAGACCTTGCCTCAGCCTCCGGAGTGCCCAGCTCCCCGTGAGTTCAAATAGCAGTGTTAACCACTATCCAGGTGCACGATGTTTTGGCTATCTGCTGCCATGTGATACTCTCTCCCAAACAGACATTGCTGAGCTTCCTTAAGACTTGGGCCCTGACTTACCAGGGTCCCTTCACATCTGATTAGTTTTAAAAAGCCCAGGCCACTGTCATGAGCCAGTTGTGAGCACAGTGAGACCTATTGAAATGATACTATGATGTGTGCTCCCCTTTTTAGTTTTCCCTAAAGTGAGAATCACAAGGTAAATGTAGTTATTGGTGGTGGTGGTGTCTGGCTCATCATGTGACCTCATAATGAGTCTGCCGCTGAGGACTTGGTTTTTTACCTTTGCAGTGTATACTCTGAAAGAGCGGTGCCTTCAGGTTGTGCGAAGCCTAGTCAAACCTGAGAACTACAGGAGGCTGGACATTGTCAGATCGCTCTATGAAGATTTGGAAGACCACCCAAATGTGCGGAAGGACATACAGCGGCTGACCCAAGAGCACCTTGAAAATCAGCACCTGGGAGAGGAGCCTGAAGGAGTCCATTGAGTTTGGTGGTCCTGAGTTTCAGCCTTGATGGTTCTGAGTCTTGACCTACACATAGGGCAGGTTACTTTCTTTCAGTTTTAAATGTTTCACTCTCAGAGTAAAATACACTCCATGTGTAAAAGAAAGTCTAACTAACGTCACTGGGCTTTGTGGTGCTTAAGGGTAAACACCGAATCTGCCCTTTCTAGAAGCATTCATCAGATGAAGGTTTTCATTTTTGCTTCCTGGTAAGGCTGGAAGTTCACTGTAAGGATGTTTGTGTAAGCTCTTCAGTGGGGGTTACAGTGTGTCCTTTAATTTGGAGAATGCAGCAGCATTTGAGCAGAGAGCACCCACCTCCTGCTTTGGGAAAGCTGAGAAGGCCCAAGGCTGGGACAGACATCTTGTAGAGCCCAGTGCCTAATGTGTCAGGAGGCTTCAGTCTCTAACGTTGGATGGACAAACCATCTGGTGTTGGTGGAAGAGCTTGGAGGGTGCCTCTTTGAGGAAAGCCTTAAGTGTACAAGTAAAGGGACAGCTTAGCAGCCTGTGTTTAGAAAGAAGTTTTTCTGATTGTCCACGTCTCGGCACTTTCTTTTCACTTTTTTGTTTGTTTTTCATTTTATTTTAATTTTGAGACTCTTTCCTGTAGCCCGGGCCAGCCTCAGTCACTGAGTAGATGATGCTAGCCTGATCCTTTTGTGTCCCCAGCCCCAGTGTTGGGAGCACAGCCTGCTCACTCTTTTCTCATTTTGAGACAAGATCTCATACTGTAGCCCTGGCCTCAAACTGGAGTCAGTCTTGCCTCCTGATATGTCGTTTTAGCTGAGAGGGGTTTGCATACTCACTGTCCCCAGTGTTTTTGTAATTTGACATCTACATAGGCAGTAGAAAAGAGTCATCCTGTGTTCAGTTCTGGTTTTAAAGAGCTTCTGTCTGCGAGGAAACTGTTGACAGGAGTGGGAATTTCTGTTCCTTTCTGTCAGTCCCTGGCATTCCAGTGGGTTCTGCATTTTCTTTTGGCAGGCCCTGGTTACTCTTTGATTGGGGGTGAGGTGTTGAAGCGCCACTCAGCCACATACTACAAACAGTGTGTCACAGAGCAGTCCAGAACATGTAGTAGTTCTATAGATGGTCACAGCCTGTCTTACATATTCAAATATTCATATTTATTACTTCTGTCAGACATTTTGTAAAACAGTTGTTTGTTTGTTTGTTTTAATTCCCCTATTAGAAAAATATTAGAGAAGCACACCAGAAAAGACAGTCAACTAAAAGGAAAAGGAAAGGTTATTCATGCAACCACTGTAACTGGGTGTTCTCTTTGTGGGGTATATTGTGATTGGTTGAAGAAAGTCATAGTAGGGTATGTACAATTTTGTATCCTGATTATTTCATTGAACTTCATTCTCTCTCTCTCTCTCTCTCTCTCTCTCTCTTTGAGACAGGGTTTCTCTGATTGTCCTGGAACTTCTTTGTAGACCAGGCTGGCCTCAAACTCAGAGATCTGCCTGCCTCTGCCTCCCAAGGGCTAGGATTAAAGGTGTGCTCCAGCATGCCTGGTCTTCATCTAACTTCCTAACTTAACTTCCCCGAGTTACTGTGGGCACTGTGTGAACACCAGTGTGCTGCGCTCTTCTTTGACTGTTGGAAGCATTTGTCGACATCCTGGGCTCCTTGAGTGCACTCTGCTCTAAGACAGGTAAAATGAGTGAGTGAAACACTGCCGTTTCCGTTTCCCAGTGCCCTGCCAGTGTCATTCCTTAGTCTGCAACATTCCTTGAGTGAGTGGCCACGTGGCAGCTAAAAGGGTGCCTGTGTGAGTGAGGGAAGTCTAGGTGAAGTATTGAACATTGGTTTTCTCTTTTTAAACCTGACTCTGTCTCAGAAAGATCTTATGTTTATCTTTAAACTGGAAATTTGAATACTGTTCTCTGCGCTGCCTAAAAAGTGGAGACCTGTGACGGGAGTCACGCGTCACCTGGCTATCCTGGAAATGTTCTGCAGACTTTGTTTTCTACTTTGAGTTTTCTGAAAAGGCTTACCTTTAGTACAATAAAAAGTGCTAAGTGAAGGAAGCATGTGTGTCGTGTTACTTTTAACAGGGCTTTTCCTCTGGGAGTTGAAATGTTTTGCTCAGTGGTGTGGGGGTGGGGCAAGAAACAAGGCCTCAGTTTCATTTTCCAGTTTCTCTTTCCAGTCTTAGATTTTTTTTTTAATTTAAAATTGTTTCTTCTAGCTTTGTTTTTCTTCTAAAAATTAATTATCTATAAAAGCATTTAAACACTGAAGAAAATGGTGAGGTATTCAGGTAGCTGCGGGGCGCACCCTTGTGCTCCCAGACCTCTGAAAGTTGGAGGCATTTGGATCAGGAAGTGGGGGTCATCCTCCATTCCACAGTAAATTCTGGGCTATAAAGACCTTGTGTAAGAGAAGCAGCTGGGCTGTGGAGATGGCTCAACAGGTAAGAGCACTTGCAAGTGAGATGGGTCACAGCTGTCTGTAACTAGCTTTGGGGGTCTGATGCCTCTGGCCTCCCGCCATCTGCACCGTCTGCAGTATTATGCACACACACATCATCTTTTTTGTTTTAAATTTTTATTGATTCTTTGCTAATTTAACATCATGCACCCCAATTCCACTCATCTCTTCGTATCCTCCCTTTGACCTTTCAACCTTTTCCCCATTTACAAAACAAGAAAGCCATCTCGTGGTGGAAGCTGTAGTGTGTCACAGTGTGTCCCCAGCACACCCTTTGTCCACACTTCTTTACTTGCAAATATTCATTGCAATGAGTCATTGGTCTGGTTCAAGGCCTCTGGCTTCTGCTCCACTATCAAAACTGTATCCTCCCCAGGACTCCTCTCAGATATCCTGTTGTTGCACTGTCATGGAGATTCTGCAGCTTTGGGTCTGCAGGACTGGCCCCTTCACGTGCTCTAGCAGTTAGGTCATCGATGGGGCCGATGTTGGGGCAGGCCAACTTAGAACCCTGGGTCTGGGCCTGTGTGGTAGCTCTGCTGGTCAGCCTGCCAGTTCTCCACCTCCAGGTTGAGCTCTCCAGCAGGGCCTGGCTGCCTCACTCAGTGCCACAGCCAGCAAGGGGCAGGATCAGCTCTCCCACCCTTATGCCCTCGGGGACAGCTAACCTGTGCCCATGCCACTGGAGCCAATTTTACTGTGCTGCCCAGGCAAGGTTCAGGGCTGGCTCTGAATGCTGCAGCTGGCAAGGGGCTGGACTGGCTCTCCTGAGTGGGGAGTACACCTCTCCCTCACCCACACCACACCATGGCAGATGAGTGGTGAGTTTAGTTATGCACTCTAGCTCTTGGGGCCAGCTCATTTGACCCATGCCACCAGGGGTAGCTCGTCTGTGCTGCCCAGGTGTGGTATAGGATGCTGAGTGCCGCAGCCTGTGAGGTGTGGGGTAGCTCTGCCCAGCCCTTGGACATCACCGTGGTCCCAGGACCAGGGACATTGCATGGCCTTTGACGGTAATATGAGCCACTGACATCCACACAGACACCTGCTGCTTCATGGTCACAGACCCAGACATTGGCCCTCAGCGGCAGCATGGGCAGGGTCTTCACCATGGCCTCAGGTGGCATGACAGGTTATTTATCAGGCTGTGCCTCTCCACCCTCGAGTCTCCAGTTCCACCTCCTTTCATAGTTCTCAAACCCTTCTGCCTGGTCTACAGAGCAAGTTCTAGGTCAGCCAGCCAGGGCTACACAACAACAAAACAAAAAAAAAAACTTAACAACAACAAAAAAACCAAAAGGGTTCACATTGAGAACAGATTTTTAACCTGTGAAACAAACAAAAAAGTAAGGTAGTTAACACTGACAAAACAGGCAGAGGGCACTGAGCTTGGGATCAGGACACTAGAGAGACATGAAATAGTGTGTCTCAGTGGGAGAACACTTGTTATATCAGAGGGCCTGGGTTTGGTCCTCAGCAACATTGCCCCTCTCAACACACACACACCCTCTTAGCACCTCAGTCTAGTTTAGACTAGTTTTAGACAGGCTGGTCCCTGGCCTGTCTAAAACTCCGGTATTGCCCTTGAACTCCTGGCCTTGATCACTTGCCTGCCTCTGCCCTGACCTTACCACACACAGTGAATAGTTCACTGGGAGATATGCTGACTAGTTTGTAGGTCAACTTGACACAAAGGTAAGGTCATCTGGGGAAAAAAAATCTTAATCGAGAAAATGCCTGCATAGGATTAGTCTTCAGGACTTTTATTTTGTTTTGTTTTTTTGGTTGACGATTGATGTGCGGACCAGGCCCACTGTGGACAGTGCCAGCCCTGGGCTGCTAGTCCTTGGTACTGTAATAAAGCAGGCTGAGCACAACCGGTGAGCAGCTGCCCCTCCAGAGCTTCTGTTTCAGTTCCTGCCTTCGGGTTCCTGTTCTGTTTGAGTTCCTGCCCTGACTTCCCTTAGTGGTGGATTTTGATACGGAACTGTAAGTGGAAATAAACCCTTTCCTCCCTGGGTTACACAGCAGAGAAAAATTAGATAAGGTTTAAGGTGGTGATCAGAAAAGACTGACCAATAGCACCGAGTGATAAGGAAAGCCTGGGAGGCTGGAGAGATGGCTCAGTGGTTAAGAGCACTGTCTGCTCTTCCAAAGGACCCATGTTCAATGTTCAGCACCCACATGGAGCTCACAACTGTCTGCAAGCCCAATTCCAAGGGATCTGACACCTTCACACTAATGCACATTAAACAAACAAACAAACAAACCCTGAAGCCAGTTTCTAAATTAGAAACAGCCTCGGCAACTTCCAGGTGCCTGCCCTTATTAAGAGGCGGGCAGGTAACTCCCAAATATGGAGTGAACAGGCCTGGGAGCTGACACCACAAATGTTACTAATAGCAGCTTAGGTTACTCAGGCCCAGGAAAGCCGTGGGGCGCAGTACGGTAACTGTGGGTGTCTGGAGAAAGGAATACATCTCAGCAGTAGCTTAGCCGGAAGGGATTGGCCTTCTTTAGTTGTAACACGGTGCTGGCTTTCAACTGTTTAACTCTGAACTTGCTTTGGAGCCCAGACTGGCCTGGACCTTGTAATTTTCCTGGCTCAGCCACTTGAGTATTGGAGTTACACGTGTGCTCCATTAGATCCATGAATAACTCAAGGGAGATGTTTGCAGATCTGTTGGCCTTGGACTCCTGGGCTCAGGTTCTTTGGCCGTGGAGTCAGTAGCTGATGATGGATGTCCAGCTAGAAATGGCTGACATCAGAGGGCTCTGTGGTTTAGAGCCCTTGATGAGCTTGCAGATGACCCATGTTTGAGTCCAGCATCCACACAGCAGCTCACAGCCATCCATAACTGCCTGTAACTTCAGCTCCAGGGAATCTAATGCTCTCTTCAGCTCTCCATGGGCACCAGGCATTCGAGGAGTGCATAGACATATATACAGGCAAAACATTTGTATGCACAACATAAATTAAAACTTTAAAAAATTATATTCATTTAGTGGAGCATGATGGCACATGCCTTTAATCTTTGTGTCTTCAAGACCAGCTTGGTCTATTTAATTAATATATAATTAATTGATTACAGGATATATAATCAATTTCAGGGCAGCCTGGAAACTGTGTCTAAATAAGAAAGGTTATATTTATTTATTTGTGTGTGTCTGCCTCTGGGGAGGGGGAGGAACATGCATGCCTGCGCCAGGGTGTGCGTGAGGTCAGAGGACAACTTTTGGGAGGTGCTTTTCTTCCACCATGTAGGTTCTGGGCCTGGAACTGCAGGTATCAGCAGTCACTTTCACCTGCTGGGCTATATCCCTGGTTCTTGAAGGGTTTTAAGAGTGGTTTTTGTTACATTTGTGCATGCCTCTGTGTGTGTGTGTGTGTGTGTGTGTGTGTGTGTGTGTATGTGTGTGTGTGAAAGTGAGGGGGGGGACATGTAGAGTCAGACAACTTTTGGGAGTTAACTCGCTCTTTCCACTCTGTGTGGGCTCCAGGGATTGAGCTCAGATTGTCAGGCAATTTTCTCTGCCAAACTACATGGGCCACCACTGTTAAAAGAGAAGTCACGCAGGATTCTCTTGTGTGAGTATTGGTGGGTGGTTCCTAAGGTTTGAGCCCAAGGTGTTGCTCGTGCTAGGCAAGTGCTAACTTGGCATATGAGCTGCAGCCTTATCCCTATTTTACCTCATTCTGAGACAGGAGCTTGCTAAGTTTCCCAGGTGGCTTGAAACGTTCAATCCTCCTGTCTCAGCCTTCTAGGTGCCTGGGACTACAGGTGTGTTCCATCACGCTAGGCCTGGAGTGCATGTCTGTCAAGCCCAATTTTTATTATTTTCAGCTTTGAACAGACATTGCCCAGTGTTTTGAGTTTTGGGTTAACCTTTAAAAATATCAGGGTTTCATTTTTGTTCCATTTGTTTGTTGTTTTTGGTTTTTCCAGACAGGGTTTCTCTGTGTGCCCTGGCTGTCCTGGAACTCCCTCTGTAGACTAGGCTGGGTCTTGAACTCAGAGATACACCTGCCCCTGCTTCATGAGTGCTGGGATTAAAGGCGTGGATCACCACTGCTTGGCTTGTTTTGCTTTTTTTTTTTGAGATTTTTTTTTTTTTTTCTGTGTAGCCTTGGCTGTCCTGGACTAGTTTTGTAGACCAGGCTAGTCTGTAACTCACAGAGATCTGCCTGCCTCCACTTCCCTGAGTGCTGGGATTACAGGTGTGTGCCACCATGCCCGGCTTGTTTTGCCTTTTTAAACACTGGTGAACTGTGAACCTGTGATCAAAAGCCACATGCATACTGGTCCATAAACTTTTGTTTTTGTTTTGTATTTCAAGACAGGGTTGCTCTGTATAGCTCTGGCTGTCCTGAAACTTGTCCTGTAGACCAGGCTGCCCTCGAACTCATAGAGATCCACCTGCCTCTGCTTCCCAAATGTTGGGATTAAAGGTGTGTGCCACCACCGCCTGGGAAAGTAAACAAGTTTCGTGCTGAGCAATCAGTGAATAGGATCCAAGGGCACCATGCTTGACAGACTGAAGACTCCACAGTGGCATTATCTTCCTGGAGGGTAGTGGGTAAGATCCATCACATGTTAGATGGGCTCACTGTTACTCCACAAAATCTAGTTTCAGGAGCTTAGGAAGATAAGCAGAGCAATAGGATGTTTACCTAGTGAGCCTTGCTGGGCTTGATCCCCAGCAAGGCAGAGAAATAAAATTCAAAACTATGAACAAAAGATTGGAATGGTGGCACATGACTTTCATCACAGCATTCAGGAGGCAGAGGCAAACGGAGCTCTGTGAGTTCGAGGCCAGCCTGGTTGACAGAGTGAGTACCATGACAGCCAGAGCTACACAGAGACACCCTATCTCAAAAAGCGAATTAAATGAATTTAAAATGTGCTGTTTGTTTGTTTGTTTGTTTGTTTTCAAGACAGCCACTGCCACCCAGCTAAGATGAACATCTTTAAGTGTTTTTATTTATTTTGTGTGCAAAAGCGCTTCGACTACATGTATGTCTGTGCACCATGTGCAAAAGCCTGGTCACCCAGGATGTCAGAAGAGGGCATCAGATCCCTTGCAAATGGAGATAGGGTTAGTTGTGAGCTTCAGTGTGGGTGCTAGAAACTGCCTTTTCAGTGCTCTATCTACGTGTACACCTTCACTCCAGAAGAGGACACCAGATCTCATTATAGATGGTTGTGAACCGGTTGCTGGGAAGTGAACTCAGGACCTCTAGAAGAGCAGACAGTGCCCTTAACCACTGAGCCATCTCTCCAGCCCCAGAACTGCCTTTTCAAAAGCAGTAAAGGCTCTTAACCACTGAGCCACTTCTCCAGCCCCACCTCTCTAAACATGAACTTTTTATTGGCATGAAAACTATTCATTAATACTTTTATTTCATTTTTGGTTTTTCAAGATAGGGGTTCTCTGTGTAGCCCTGGCTGTCCTAGAACTCACTCTGTAGACCAGGCTGGCCTCGAACTCAGAGATCCCCCTGCCTCTTTCTCCTGAGCCAGTGCTGGGATTAAAGGTGTTCATCACCACTGTCTGCTTTATTTTTCAATTAAAAATTTGAAAATAAAAAAAATAAATAAAAGGGTCTCACTTTGCAGTCCAGTTGGCCTGCCCTGGAACTCACTGTGTGTAACCACACTGGCATCGAACTTTTGACAATCCTCCAGCCTCAGCCACCTGAGAACTGAGGTTACTGGCGTATGACCATGCCCCTAGGACACTTCTAAATTGGTTAGCACATTGGGTCCTTCATTCCTTCCTTCCCACACTGAAGGCAAAATCTCTGGGTTTCCTCCGCTTAAGTCTCGCCAACACCTGTTAGGTGAATGAAATCCAGGTGGCCATGGAATTCGAGTCAGCCAGGCTCAGGAAGTGCCTTGGAACTCTGGGTTAAGGTAGTGGGCCTCTCTCTTGCTTGGTTCACTCCTGGCTCTGGGCTGGTGGCGTGCGCTACTGAATTGCAACCACGGGGTGGCGCTGGCTTGCCCTCTCTCAGCCATGGGCTGTGTGGGACGTGCTGCCGCGCTTGCCCGCTCGGGGGCGCTCGCTCGCTTGCCCAATGCGGCCCCGGGCAGCACCGCCCCTCGCTAGGAAAGTCACTGCCCTTTGCCACCGACTCAGTCTCACCGGCGCTTTGCCACCGGCGCGGTCAAGCCATGGCTTGCTATATCTACCAGCTGCCGTCCTGGGTGCTGGACGACCTGTGCCGCAACATCGACACGCTCAGCGAATGGGACTGGATGCAGTTCGGTGAGTGTGCCACCGCCAACCGTGATCAGATCCGCGCCCACCCTCGTTACCCGAAGCTGGGGGATTCCTGTTGAGAACGCTACTGCTTTGCCTTTTTTTCCAGACCGACCTGAGGCTGCTTGTGAACTTGCCTGGCTAAGTGGGAGGGTGGGTGCGATTCGAACCCAGGCTCCTCCTGGTTGACCCTCACTGTGGTGGCCGCTTGGAGTGTTCTTTTGGCCTGTTTTGTGTGTTGATTGTGGAGCTGAAGCGTCTCAGGACAGACTGCCTGCCCAAGCTGTGTTCCAGTCTCATCACTTCACAGACTGTGGTATCTGGGGACGATACTAACTTCCCTGAAACTTGGCTTAATTTGTAAACTGCAAGTTACAATTGTAGATTCTTTACACAGTTACGAGAATGAAAGTAGTGTTCTTTCCCTACCTTAGTGTCGCCATTCTGTGGCTTAGTTTCCACTCTTTCTTATTATTTTGAGACAGGGTCATACTGTGTAGCCCTGGCTGTCCTGGAACTTACTATGTAGACCAGGTTGGCCTGGAACTCACAGAGATCCACATGCCTCTGCCTCCCAAATGCTGGGATTAAAGGCGTGAGTCACCTTTATTTGTTTGTTGCATGGAGGGAACTGATCTTAGGGCTGTGTGCTTGCTAAGCAATCACAGTACCACTGAGCCATATCTCAGCTGAGGTGTTTTGGTCTTTTGGGACAGAGTTTCCTCTTGTAGCCCAGGTTGCCTGGGAACTTGTCATCTTCCTGTCTTAGCCTGCTAGGTGTAAGATGATAGATTTGAACCATAGTGCCTGGAGCTTGTTTTGTAGCTAATGATGCCCTCGAACTGATCCTCCCACTTCTACTTTGAAGTGCTGGGACTTCAGGCTTGGTTCATGTAGTGCTGGGATGGAACCCAGGAAAGCTCTACAGCAAGCCAGCAGCTGCCACGCCCCCATTCTTGTAGGTAACATGCTAACAGCTGTCATTCGTGGTTTAACTGCTGTCATTTAATTTCTTTCTTTCTTTCCTTTTTTTTTTTTTTTTTTTTTTTTTTCAAGTCTGCGTTTCTCTGTGCAGCCCTGGCTGTCCTCAGACTCACTCTTAGACCAAGCTGGCCTCAAAAATCAGAATTTACCTGCCTCTGCCTCCCAAGGTCTGGGGTCAAAGAGGTGCACCACCACCGCCTGGCAATAATTTGTGTGTGTGTAAATTTTATTTTATTATATTTTTGTGGTGCTAGGAACTGAACCCAAAGCCTTGCACGTGGCAGGCAAGCATTCTGCCACTGAGCTATATAATTTCTTAAATGAAGTATTATGTATGTATATGTTCTGTTGTCGTTATTGTTTTCTTTTATTTTCTTTCTTTCTTTTTTTTTTTTTTTATTTTTTTAAGGCAGGGTCTCATGTAGCCCAGGCTGGCCTAGAACTCATTACCTAGCTAAGAATGATTTTGAATTCCTGGTCTTCCTACCAACACCTCTCTAGTGTTAGGATTATGGGCATGTGTCATCCACCACGCCTGACTTCAGTAATATATTTTTTAATTCAATGTTTACATTACTGGAGGCTAGCAAAATTGCTCAGTGGGTAAAGGCACTTGATATCAAGCCTGTAGACATAAATTCAATCCCTGGCACCCATGTAAAGGTGGAAGGAGAGAACTAACTCCACAAGTTGTCCAGTGATCCTACACATGAACCAATGGCATGTGCACCCGCACAGATCATGCATAAATACACAGTAAAACTTTGTTTTACGTTTTTGTCAGGTGTGGTGTGACACACACCTACAATGCCACTGTGGAGAAGCAGAGACAGGAGGATCAGGAGTTCAAGGTCCGGTGCAGATGCACAGGGAGTTCGAAGGCAGCGGGGCTATGCGCGGCCTTGTCATAAAGTAAAACACAAGCAACAACAGAACAAAACCAGCACTCTCCTATTTTTTACATATAGCGCTTATTAAAAAGAACATATAATATATAGGTATGCTTGACAATAATAAGGTGGACGTGTATGTTGCCCCTCCAGTTTGAACATACACTGTGTATGTTAGGGTCAGGGTGTACCTCAGTGGTAGAATCTGGGTTCCACTCCTAGCCTTGCAAAGGAAAAAGGAAACAGGAAAAAAAAAATCATAAGTATTTTAAGGTAGTGGTCCTCAACCCGGGATTTTGGTTTTTTGTTTTTGTTTTTCTGTAAGTGGCCGTTGCCAGCGTCCAGAGACGTTTCTAGTTGATAGACCTTGGTAGATGTGGTGGGTGAACACCAACCAGGACTACTGCAGAACACCCAGAAGGGCAGACCCTCAGCACAGAGCACAGCTGCTCCTAGGAGTCAGCAGTGATGGGGCTCAGGGGTCTTTTAACCCAGGAAGAAAGCAAGTTGGTGTGCGGAGAAAAATACCATAGAGGTCAAGAGCGGAGAGGTGAGCCCAGGGATGGGTTCTCCACAGGGATGAGTGTTTGTAGCTCCTAGGAGCCAGTCTGGGCCTTAATACCTGTGGCTGCTCCTGTTTGCTAGCTTGTGACGTCTACAGTGCTCAGGACTGTGCCTTCTGGCCTCTTTCCTAAATGCATTCTAGTGCCAGAACATATTTCCACCATCTTGTCATTCTTGACCACCAGTTATAGATGATGGACAGCCTGCCTTTCTTCCTCTTAGGCATTTATTTAACCTTGATAGGCATTTTTTTTCCTTAGCTGTGTATTATGTAGCTCACACTGGCCTCCTCCTGCCTCAGCATTTCTGAAGCTGGGATTACACATATCTGGCAATGAACTCTTAGGATATATTTTGGTTGTTTGTGTTTTTGTTTTTGTTTATTTTTTGAGGTAGGCCTTTTCTGCGTAGCCTTGGCTGTCCTGGACTCACTTTGTAGACCAGGCTGGCCTTGAACTCACAGTGCCTCTGTCTGTCTCTGCCTCCTCAAGTGCTGGGATTACAGGTGAGTGCTGCTGCATCTGGCTAGGATATTTTCTTGAGTCTTGAGTGCATTTTCATTCTGCATCACTACTAGAGAACTCGGGGGCTGGTGTTGGTTACGTCTGAGCTGGAGGGGAGTGGCTGTCTTTTGTGCCCTCCGACTTCCTGTCCCCTCTTTGCACTTCCTGTCCCCTCTTTGCAGGCTGTGCCCTGGGGGGAGCCTGTGGCAGTGTCAGTTACACGGGATGACCTATGCTGACTTGGAATCTTTCCTGGGCTGTGACCAGCTGTGTGGGTGTATAGGGTGGGGAGGAGGATGGTCTTTAATTTTTTTTTTTCCATTTCAGCTCAGCCCTGAACTGCCCACAGCTGGATACCTTCTGCTCCTAGAATATTAGTGATGGAGGCACATTTACGACTTTTTGAAAAAAACAATCAAACAAACAAACAAACAAACAAACAAAACCCTTGTTATACAATTTATGGGCCAGGTGTTGGTGGCACACACCTTTAATCCAGCATTCCAGAGGCAGAGGCAGGCTGAGTTTTGTGAGTTCCAGGCCAGCCTAGACTACAGAGAGGGTACCAGAAAAAAGTGGGGAAAAGATACAATTTATGATGTTGAAGTGTGTCTCAGTGGTAGAGTGTGTGCTTCCCGTACCTCTGGGTTCAGCTACGGAATAAAATAACAAAAAGGAGGAGGGAGGGAGGTGGGGAAGGAAGATGAAGGGAAGTAGGAGGGAAAAGGCAGGGATGGGTTATGGGGTGTAAGAAAAAGCCTATTATAGTGGCACAGATGTGTAATCCAAGCACTTAAGAAGTAGAGGTAGAAAAATCAGAACTGAATTCCAGTCCAGCCTGGGCTGCTTGAGGGCCTGTCTCAAAAAGCCAAGAACCGAGCAATCTACTGAGCAAGCAAATGATAAACAAACCAATCCATTATTAACCATACACACATTTAGAGAGCGCCTCAGTGATTTTAGTACATCCACAGAGCTATGGTTCCATTTTTATTACTTCAGAATGGAACCCTGCACCCTCCTCACCCCTCCGCCCTGGCCTCTAGGAATTTCCTGTTGTAGCATTTTATGTGAGTGAGACCATCCAGTATGCGTCACTCTTTACAAGTGACTTTATTATTTAGCAAGTCTTTTTCCTTTTTATTAATTTATTTTTCATGTACATTTGATGTTTGACCTACATATATGTCTGTGTGAGGATGTTGGATCCACTGGAATTTGAGTTACAGACAGTTGTGAGTTGCCATGTGGGTGCTGGGAATTGAACCTGGGCCTCTGGAAGAGCAGATGTTCTTAACTGCTGAGCCTTCTCTCCAGCTGGTTTTTCTAGACAGGGTTTCTCAGTGTGGTCCTGATGACCTGGAACTCACTGTGTAGACCACGCTGTTGTGCCTGCCTCTGCTCCTAAGTGCTGGGACCAACGGCCTGCGCCATCACCCAGCTGTCCCAGTTTCCTAATACTCCAGTGTATGTTTGACCCCCATTGTGCTTTTCCATTTTCCCATTGATAAACATTTGGGCTCTTCCCATTCTTGGGAGGTCGTGACAACACTGCAGGCCATTTGTGTTCCAGTGTCAGTGTGGACACATGCGTTCATGTCCCTTGCGTGTGCACCTAGGCATGGCGGAGAGTTCGGAGCATGCTCTGCACTGCACCATTATAGGGCTACACTGCCAGTTGTTTTCCAGAGAGGCTCACACGTACACCCTCCATATAGGAGGGTCGCTATTTCTCTGTCTTGTCAAAGCCTGGCCTTGTCCCTCTTTTTTGGCTCTTGCTTATTGGCCATTTGCACACCGTTTTCTGAGAACAGCTCTGAGTTTGCGAGTCCTGGAGATGGCAGAGTCACCCACAGCCCTCTGAGGCTTCACTGTGGTTGAGGACATGAAGGACATTCCTTGGCTGGCCCGCCAGCTCTGGCCCTCTTATCTCCTTTGCTCCTGTATCCCACCCCACTCACTCTCCCTGCCTCAGCCTCACTGGTCTCCTTTGGACTCCGGGTCTTTGCATCTGCTGTTCCCTCTGCCTGAGATGCTCTTCCTCCTGCCTGGCTTTGCAGTCTGAACTACTTTCCTTTTGTTGCTGTAACAAATAACTACCAATTGAGTGTCAGCTTCAGGCAGCACAGGCTTCTGACCTCCCACAGTGGGAGGCCATTCCCTTGGCCTTTGCTTCTCCCTCCATCTTCAATCTTCAGACCTCTCTGACTTGTTTTTCTCTGCCTTCCTTTATTTATTCTCTCCCTGCCTCTACAGGGTCTCAAAAGTCACCATACCCAGCTCTTTGCTCTCCTTTTAGAAGGACCCTAAATTGACAGGGCTGACTTGGGCAGTCTGGAAAGGTCGCATTTTCTCTACATCCTTACCTAGTCCCCTCTGTGTAGTCTCTTTAACCTTCTAAGACACTGTATTCAAGGGTCTTGGGACTCAGGGCACAGATGCCCTTGGTTGGGTATTCTGTCTGCCATGGTTCTGCTTCTTAGAGGGACCAGCCCCAACTTCTCAGCCCATCACAGGTTTTACCTTTTTGGTTCCCCTTAACATGTTCACTGTTCCCCTTGTTCCTGCTTTGGCTAGTCCATCTCTCCCTGTAGGACCTATGTCACGTGGGTGGGGGCTGATCTGCCTCTTGCACTGTGACTCTGGAGTCAAGGACAGTACAGGGCAAGCAGGCAGGTGCGCAGCATCTGCCCCAGAGAATGGTGCATTGGTGGGTGTGTTTTCTCACCCAGAGGCTGCTCTGAGCCCAAGGATGGCCCTCTCCTGAGGTTCAGGGTCCCTGGGTGGAGAGCTGGCTGTGTAGCTGCCAGCTGGTCTCAGGACCCTGGTTTTCCATGCCCCAAAGGAGGGAGAGGTTGGATGAGTGTCCCCTTGCTCCTATGTTCGGCTGCTGAGTTATTCTAGAAAAAGGTGGTCTTGTGCTGTGGTCCTGGGAGAGAAGGTGTGAAAGATCTAAAGTGACTTAGAAAACCCACAGCCACAAATGTGCACACTCTTCTGGATCATTTGGTATAGACTGCACACCTGTGGCCAGTTCTCTGCAGTCATAGCTGCAGTCATTTGCTCCTGAGATAAAGAATTGTGCTACCTGTCTGAGCCCATGCAAAATGGGAGTGTGCAGAGGACCCCTGTGCAGGCACCCCTCTGCTAAACCGCTCTCCTTGCTCACCAGGGCATTCCAGCCTTTGTGCACTGCCTAGCTGTGTGACTTCAGGCAAGTGACTGTGTGTCTCTGAGCCATTCATCTGTGAGAGGCTGAGGGACTACAGTGGCTTCCCTTTCCGTAATGGAGGGGGGTTGGCTAGTAGGAGAGGGGCGTATGACCTTGGGGAGGGTCATTTCAGGAGGCTACCCCTGTTTCTGGATGACTGTAAGGGTGGGTAGGCTTTTCCCATGATTCTCCAGCCTAGAACAATGGTTTCCCTGCGGACGCAACACATTGCCAAGTGCTATCCCAAGTGTACCAGTGGATAGAGTTCATCTAGTCCGCATAGCCACCTCTGACGTCAATGGGGAAACTAAGGCTCTGGGAGGGGTTGACAGGCCTTCCTCAAATGCACTGCAAGGAGGATTTGAAGTGTGTTGGGGGGAGAGGGTGCTCACAGGATGTGTCTGTCAGCTCTCAGAGAATTGATCGCCTTAGCAAGAGGAAAGCCTGGCTCACAGTTTGAGAGATTTCAGTCGCTTGATTCCGCTTTGTGCCTGTGGCAGTGTCTCATGGCACCAGGCAAAGCTACCTCATGGAAGGCGCTGGACTCCCATAGGCCCTCCTGAGAGCACACCTCTGAGTCCTCGGAGACTCCCCCAGGGTCTCATCTCTTAAAGTTCCCACCTCCCCAGGTACCAAGCTGGGACCAAGCCTTTAGCATAGGGCTCTTTGTGGGACACCAGGTCTGAATGGCAGCGTTCACACAGGTGGGAGTCTGGGAGATAAAGCTGCCTGAATGTAGCCAGTGGTTCCCTTGGGTCTCTCAGGTAGGACTTGGATTTTCTTCCTTTCATAACGACCAGATTTATATGAGCCATGGCCCAGCGGGGGCTGTTGGCAGTAACTAAGTTGCCCCCGCCCCGTCTCTGCCCATCTCGCTCTGGGATTGATACCTTAAGAGACATCAGCTTCACGGAACTAAACTGTCCCTTTGCAGAGGCACCCTGGAGTTCACTTCCTGTTTCTCCTAGGAAGAAATTGAAAGTCACAGAGGGTCAACACTCTGGCTAGCGGAGGCCCACTTCCACCGGTGTCCTTGCTAGGCTAGCTTTGGCATACGTCACACCTTCCTCTTAGCCCCTTGTGAGCAGTTGGAAGGGACTCTGGGCCTGCTTAAATCACTTCCTGCTGGCTAGGAATCCGTTTTGGAGTTTCCAGTGACTAAAACTGCAACTCTGGAACTTTCCATTCCCAAGGGGCACTTCTCCTGGAGGCTTTCTCTGTGGGAGAATGTCACAGCCTTCCCTCATTTGTCCAGAGAGGACTGACAGTGTAATGTCCATTGTGCCTGTCCTGGCTCTGACGTCTTCCATAGTCCTACCGAATCCTGTGCTTTAACTCTGGCCTCCCTGTTCCCCACTTGGTCCTCCCAAGCTCATATTCCAAACAGAAAAGTTCCATGGAGTTTTTGGTTTCACTTGTTCTCTCTAGGGCTCATCCTGGTCTCGTGTTCAGTGCTTAACGACATTTTCCTTTGGTGGTGCCATTTAAGGGCTGGGAGTGTGGCTCAGTGGTTCAGCATGCCCTAGTTCTACAAAACACAAAAACCCATTTGACTTAACTAATTAGCTGTTTATGGGCTGGCAAAAAAAAAAACCTCACGGTGGAGTTAGGTATGACTTGGCTCTGGGTTCAGTACCTAGTATCATGCCAATAAAAACAATAATAAAAGTAATGTTTTTGATAGAAAGAAATGTAAGTCAGGGTCTTACTATGTAGTCCTAGTTTTCCTGAAACTCATTATGTAGACCAGGCTGGCTTCAAACTCACAGAAGTCCCCCAGCCTCTGTCTCCAGAGTGCTGGGATTAAAGGCAGGTACCATCAAGCTTGGCAAGTAGTAATACAACTGAAATGTAGCCATTTATAATGAGCCAAGGATCAACTGGAAGAAGGCTTGAACTACAACACTGATAAATAGGAACAGATCTTACCTATTGTCTGTCAAAATCTGTCTAAAGCTAGTACTAGTGTGATTTTCCTTGGCCTGGGAGTGTGTTTTTTCCAGAAGAACAATCAGCTATTATGTGTGTATGTATGTATATATATATGTATGTATATATATATATGTATATATGTATATATACACACATATATATGTATGTGTATATATATATATATATATAAATAATATAGATTATATATATGCAAAGGGAAGCCAGGTGTGTTGGTTCACCCCAGTAATGCTAGCATATGGGAAGCAGGGGCAGGAGGATTGCTTCACTGGAGGCTAGTCTGGTCTATACAGTATGACTTTGGCTTTGGTCTTGGGTTTATTTAAAGAAAAGGAAGGGATTGCATAATTTTGTATGATTGCCAGTACAATCCCTTGCAGCTCTTCCCAGTACTTCAGAGTTAGCAAAGTGCCAACCCCATGGGCTCTCTTGGTGCCTATGACAGTTCTACAAGGATGGTGGCCATAAGTTCATTTGTTCATTCACCAATCACAAACATTCTCATTTCTCCCACCGGGGTTGAGACGTAGTGAGCCGGGTGCTCAGGGAACAGCATCAGGGGAGCCTTGTTGGGGTCCTGCAAGAACAGAGCATCCCTAAGGCAGAGGGCCTCCTTACCTTGCTTCCCTTCACTCATTTGCATTCTGGCTTGCTGCCTGGAGCCAGACAGTTTCTCCATTTGGGGATGTGGCGGTGATGGAGTCCCTGCCTGTAGGGACTTCCATTCTAGATGGAGTGGGCACATTTGGGAGCAGTGTGCTGGGGAAGAGAACGTCCCAAGCAAAGACATTGCTGATGCTCAAAGACTCCCAAGCTCCTGACCTATGACCTTCATCCTGCCGGGTACAGTAGCCATGTTGACACGTGGGAAGAGCAGCGGTCAGGCAGAGACTCTCCCCGGGAGGCAGTACCTCCAGCTCTAAGCTCAGCCTTCTCTTGCCTTCCAGCCTCCTATGTGATCACAGACCTGACGCAGCTGAGGAAGATCAAGTCTATGGAGAGGGTACAGGGAGTGAGCATCACCCGGGAGCTGCTGTGGTGGTGGTCCATGCGGCAGGCCACTGTCCAGCAGCTGGTGGACCTCCTGTGTCACCTGGAACTCTACCGAGCTGCCCAGATTGTCCTGAGCTGTGAGTAACCACCTGTCCCAGGGGAGTCTCAGCAAGGGATGTGTATCTGAAGATCCTGTCCCTGTCAATCTTTTGCCAGTGCAGGGAACAGAACTGACTGGGCCAGATGAGCTCTCTGTCACTGAGCTGCACCCCAGCCCTAGGACCCTTCTTTTTTCACCAGGTTAAAATTCACACACCAAGTCACTGATTTATCAGGTATTACTCACAGGCCTGCTATGTACTGCACATGACACTGGGTTTATCAGGAGAAAGGCCAGCTAGCCAGAGATCTAAGCCACTTTATTTTTGTAATTAAAAAAAAAAAAAAAAAAAAAAATATATATATATATATATATATATATATATATATATATATATAAATATATATTGGAGGCCAGGGAGATGGCTCCATGAGTAAGGGCACTTGTTGCCAAGCCCCATGACCTGAGTTTGATCTCTGAGACACACATGGTGGAAGGAGAGATGCCCAAAAGTTGACCTCTGACCTCTACTCATGTGCTTCGGCATCTGTGCCCCTCCCTCCCAAACACACACAAATAAAATATAAAAACTGAAAAATATCGGGGGGCCAGTTGGGAGAGACGGTAAGCCTCAGGAAAGATGGGAGAATAAACAGACCAATTTTCCTAGGATTGTGGTCAAGGATACCCAGTCCAAAGAGAGAACACCGGAAGAGTGGAAAGAAAATTGCCAGGGGTCAGAGAGCCCAACGGAGGAGTCTGCAGGGCAAAGGTGGTGTTGGGGCTGGGGGTGCGGCTCTGGGGTAACACCCTTACCTAGGAGGTGTAAGGCCCTGCAACCCCTCCCAGCTCCAGCACTGCAAAACAGATGAGGCACCCGAGGCCTGGGAAGACCCCGTGTGGGCTTTGAAGTTGACCTGTATGGGGGTGAGAGTGGTTGCCTGTTGTGCCATCAAACCCAGGGCACAGCCTTTGCCTGGGTGACCTTAAAGCCTTCTATTAGAGCAAGGGGTTAGGGAGCTCCAGCCTCGGAGCGGCAGCACACGTGACCTTTTGGGGCCACCCTAGGTCTGTGTCTTCATTTTTTAGCCACTGGCTACCTCCCTAAACTGTAAAGTGTGTAGGAACCCAGGGTTTTCACACACCCTGACCTTTCCCGTTACTTCAGCAGGAGGCACCTGTTCTAGTAGGAGAGAGCAGAACGCAGCCCAGTGCGCTTCTGCAGTCCCAGAAATTGTCCCACACACTAAGCCCCTCCCTGCTGGGCGTGGCGTCCCCCTGGTGTCTGTGCTGTTTGTAGCTCCACACCCAGTCTCCTTCCAGACTGGACAGGGTAGCCTGCTTGGCTCACAGCTCAGTAGAACCGGCTGGAACCCATCCTGTCCTGTTCTGAGATATGCCAGCCCGCTGTTGCTCTCCCTTCCACAGGGGTCAGCCAGGGAGGCTTTGGGCAAGATACGGCCGAGTGAGTCCGGTCTGACCCAGGGTACAGTCCTGGGAGAATCTCCTTTTGAGGGCTTGGACTCCACCATTGTCCTGTGAAAAGGACCAGCCTGGATGCCAGATAGAGCCCTCTCTGGGAGCCTTTGAGCCTGGGTCCCCATGATCAGTGGAACCACGAGCATTTCATTTGATCGTTGTGACCAGCCCCTGAGGATGGTGACCTCAATTTTGATTTCTCTGTCTTCTTAGAAACCTGAAATGTAGCAGATGCTGAGAAGTGATAATACTTAATACTTAAGTGGTGGCAGCTTGCTGCGGTCTGGGCGGTAGAGTGAGGAGGATCAGGAATTCAAAGTGAGCTTTGGCCACATAATGAGTTCAGGGCTAGCTTGGGCTACATGAGACCCTGCCTCAAAATAAAACCCTGTTTTTGTATTTTGGAAGCATTAATTATAAAATCTTTTTCGTTTGGTTTGGTTTTTGTTTTATGAGACAGCGTTTCTTGGTGTGGACTCAGCTGTCCTGAACTCACTTTGTAGCCCAGGCTGTCCTCAAACTCACAGAGATCTGCCTGCCTCTGTCTCCCACTGTGCCTAGCTGTAATTATAAACTCTAGATGACTCCAAAGGAGGCAAGGGAGGGTCCCTAGATGATAGGGAAGAGCTTCCAGCTCATCTGTGGTCACAGTGTGGTTACAGTTGGTCCTCTTTGGGGAGGCAGATGGCCAGGCCAGGCAAAGGCAATGGTGTCTCATCGGGATGTGTGATAGCAGAGGAAGAAAGAGCCTTACAGCCTGACCACACCCCCTGGCCACTGACAGCCGAGATCATTGGTCTATCTAGGAAAATTCTCTACCGTGGGAGGTCAACAAAGACTGTAGCTCCAGATTTACAGAAGCACATTCATGGCAGGTCCAGTGGTACACACTTAATCCCAGCACTTGGGAGACAGAGGCAGGCTGATCTCTGTGAGTTCTGGGTCAGCCAGGGCTACACAGAGAGACCCTGTCTCAAAAACTAACAACAGAACAGCTACATGGCTTGAGGTCCCAAAGTCCAAGGTCCGCCAGGTCTCATCTGGATCTCATCTGCTCCACTCTCCCAACAACTGCGGGCTCTCTGGGCCAGCAGGAAGTATCGCCTCCTGGCTTTTGGTGGCTTAGAACCCTTCTCAGACCTGTCCCTCCAGTTCTGCTTTTTATGCACCTCCAGTTCCCCAAACACATGTCTGTTTTGCTCAGTCCTGCTGGTCGGAGCCACCCCACAGTCTCCACTACCTTGCCTCTCGGCTGTACTTGTGGGATTCTGGCTCTGTGCTCAACCCTGCATCAAGCCTTCAGAGAACACACAGTTCCCTTTTCTGACTCTCGATGTTTTTTTCAAATAGAGAAAAAAAAGTTGCCTGCCCATTTTAGAGGTATATACCCAGGGCGTGTGTGCAGGCGCTGAAGTTCCTGTGTTAAGAATGCCCAGAGCCCCCTTTTCTGACCAAGCTATTTAATCTTATTTTGCATTTATATGCTTATTATTAATTTGCCCAGCTGCTGTTAACTTGAAATTTTGATTTCTGCCCGCCATTGTTGGTTTTTGTTTGTTTTGGTTCTGGGAACGGGACCTTGGACCTCATACATGCCAGACAACAGTTCTACACTAAACTACACACTTTAGCTGCCCAAATATGCGTGTGTGTTTGTGTGTGTGTGTGTGTGTGTGTGTGTGTGTGTGTTGTGATACAGGGTCTTACTGTGTTGTCTGCCTGTCATGGAACTCATTCTGTAGACCAGGTTGGTTTGCCCCTGCCTCCCAAGGGCCAGGATTGAAGACATATGTCACTATGCTTGGCTCTCAAACATTTCTTTTCTCTTGCTTTTTAAAAAAAGATTTATTGTTTTTATTTATGTGTACGGGTGTTCAGCCTGCATTTATATGTGTGTACTATATGTATGTAGTTCCTAAGCAGTTCAGAAGAGGGCATCAGATCCCCTGGAACTGGAGTTGGGGATAGTTGTGAGCCACTGTGTGGATGATGAGAATCAAACCTTGGTCCTCTTCAAGAGCAGCCAGTGCTTTTAACTGCTAAGCTAGTCCTGAGCCCCCTAAACACTTCTTCCATTATTTATTTATTATGTATTCAGTGTTCTGCCTGCAGACCAGGTATTTATTTATTTGTTTGTTTGTTTATTTGTTTCGTTATTATATATTCAGGGTTCTGCCTGCAGGCCAGAAGAGGGCACCAGATGTTATTATAGCTGGGTGTGGTTGCTGGGAATTGAACTCAGGACCTCTGGAAGAGCAGCCAGTGCTCTTAACCTCTGAGCCATCTCTCCAGCCCCTCCTAAACACATCTTAAAGATCGATTTGAAGGTGGCTGCGTTCAACAGCTGTCCTGCATGGCTTAGGACGTCTGTCTAGGCAAGGACCTGGGCTCCTAGCTCCACCACCAAAAGTCCCAGCTGTCCAGCGGCTTCCATAGAGTTGAGTAGTGTCTCAGCAAATACACACTGCGGTGAATAATGGCCTGTGACCTTTATGTTTGAGCCCAAGGCCAAGTTTAGGCTCACAGTGGCCGGACTTCTGTGTCTTGAAATCAAAGTCTGTGGGGAGGATGGGCCTGTGGATTTCTGTTCCTTCACTTTTTCTCAGCTTTAATTGCCAAGGTCACTCTTTAACCTGCTAGATGAACTGTAACTAGAAGTAGAATGAGTACAGAGGGCAGACAATAGGAAGCAGCTTCCACCAGCACAGCTTTTTCCCTCTTCCCATCTGTTCACACAGTCTGGGCTACAGAGGCTTAAAGAGCCAAGCTGGGCCTGGCATGGTGGCACATATCTGTTAACCCTAGCACTGGACAAGGTGAGGCAGGAGGATCATGAGTTCCAGGCTAGCCTGGACTACCTAATGAGACCTTGTCTCAAGCAAACCAACCAACTCAACTGGGAGGCGGCTTAGTGGGTAAGCTCCCTTACTGAATAAACATGGAGACAGAAGTTCTGATGTCCAGAGAGTAAAATCTGGGTGTGGCCACAGGTGCCTGTAAGCAGAGCTAGCTGGCTGGAGGCAAGCTGATCGCCGGGCTTGCTGGCCTAGCCCCCAAAACTATCAACTTTAGGTTCAGTGAGAGACTTTAAGGCGGTGGTTCTCAACCTGTAGGTCAAAATCCCTTTGGGGAAATTGAACAACCCTTTCACCTAAGACCATTGGAAAACACAGATACTTGCATTATGATTTATAACAATAGCAAAATTACAGTTATGATAACATAACTGTAATAGCATGAGGAACTGTGTTAAAGGGTTGCAGCATTAGGAAGATTGAGAACCACTGCTTTAAGAGAATAAGATAGAAAGTCTCTGTCTCTCTTTCTCGAATACACATACACACACAAAGAGCCATGAACATTTCTCCACAAGTGACATCCTAGGCTTTCCAGGGCAGGTAAAACGGTTCCCTGGTGTCCTGATGTCAGGGGCTGGCAGGGATACATGGCTTCTGGCTTAAGGTGACAAGAAGGAACAATGGGTGTGCTTTTGTCCTCCTGAGGGCTGGGCCAGGAAGCTGCATTTCTAACCTCCACTCAAAAGCATTGTCCAGAGCT